CCACCTGCTGCACAACTGAGGAAAAAGAGCTGCTCTGGCTTCCAAGGAACCATTCACAAAAACAGTACGCTTTCACAGAGGAGCAAACTCGAACAAAGGGTACATTAAGACAAAAAGCTAAGAAAAAGAAAACTATTTAAATGACTACATTCTAACCCTGTAATTATTTATGCATGAATAAGAACACTCTCCTTCACAGACCAGGCTCTCTGGCTCTTTGGTCCTACTGTGAGTCTCGTGACTTGACATAAGTTAATTGTGACATGAAGTTAACTAATAATAAATGATGAATAAAACTAGTATTTAGTTAAATTAAAGGTGGAATTAGAAGTAACTACCAGGGAAGAAGGAAACAAAGCAAAGACATGGGAATGTAAGCTGTATCATCTGCAAGTTAGTATTTTTCTCCACTTCAGGAGCTGTCCTCCCTCAATCTTAAACCATGTAGGATGAAAGTTAATTATTCCTCCCTGTAGTTTTACCAGAGCGAGTTTTTCACAGCTCACATATCTTCTTAGCAAGTTTACAGTAACAGCTCCAAGCAGAAGAACAAATATGGCTTGCATTATCCTCAAACATAACAGAATTTATTGACTGAAAACCTACAAGATGATCTCTTGCTTTGGCAATTACATGGAGATCATCACATGAAATGAGTGGTTCTCTCCAGATAAACTGCAGTTAAATACTGCATCTGCATATCTGCTCTATATGCCTCAGAAAACATGCATCACAGGAGTAGCTAAGGTCAAAAAAGAACATAAAAGATTCCTCAACTCAAAGCAGGGAAACCACTAGTATTTTCACAGAAGTAGCTGAGAGAGGAAAAAAGCTACTTCATTTATGGAGATAAACTAAAAACTTGCTCTATTTTCCAGACACTTTTAATTAAAATAATCATCTAGTTGTGGCAGTGTAAAACTTGTAGAGGTAAGCAAGAGCAAAAAGGTAGCATGAGAGGCATTCTAAATAATCAATCCACTTTGGGACTCGAATAGAGTCTCTTTGCAGAAAGATCAAAAGGTCGTCTTAGATCTTGGTTAGCTATTTTACTTTAGTTGATTTTTTTTGTTTTGTTTTACATACTTGGTATATCAACAAAACAGAGAGATCACAAAAGGCAATATATGTTAGAAAAACATCTCAGGCTTAAGGCAAATATGTGCCCATGCCCTTTTACTTACTATAAATCATCATCATTGACTTTTGTCAATGTTAGTTCTCAGAAATGCATTGCAGGCTCTTAAATAACTTTCTAAAAAAAGTCCCTGTCTTCTTTAGCTTAAAATCATAGAATGTGGTTGGAAAGGGCCTCTAAAGATGGTCTAGTCCAACTTCATACTGAAAGCAGGGCCAACTAGGAAGGTTGCTCAGGATATTATCCAGGTTTTGAGTATCTCCAAGGATGGACACACTATACAGTCTTGCTAAGCAACCTGTGCCAGTGTTTGACTAACCTCACAGTTCTTTTTTTGAATTTATTTTTTAAATGGTTAAATGGAATTTTCCATATTTCCACTTGTACCCACTGTCTCTTGTCCTTTTTTTTTTTTCCCCCCCAAAGGAAATTGACTCTAATTCATCAGCAGATAAGCAAAAGGCAGGCCTAACCTAACTGCAGGAAAGATGCAACCAAGGACATGACTGGGTTGTTTAATGCTAGTAATTACTTTACACGCAGTGTCAAAAAAAACAGAGAAATTACTGCACCTATTCAATAATCCACATTACTTTTTTTTTCTTTCTTTACTGGAAGTACATAATGTAGTTATCAGCTCAACAAAAGTGCTTAGGAAAACACAGACACCTTTTTAACAGTCATATACTGGACATGTTAATAGCTATCTGTATGTATCGTAACATTTAGTACTTCAGCCAGCCTTCAGTGAAGGATTTCAGAAACCTGGATTTGACAAGGTAAGTAGATGCATACTGACTTGTAAATCATGAGTCATCATGTTGAAGTAACTGGTTAAGTAACTTGCTGAACTGTGCCATAGGCCCAATTCACTCATAGTCACAAAACTTTGTAGTAACCCTCATTTTACTCAAGAAAAAATTAATGTAAAGCTCAATTTAATTATATGACGAATTAAAAACAACTACGGGAAGGAGCTTAAAGATCAACACAGATGACATTTCTTCAAGCTCCACAAGGTTTTCTGAAAATCTTAGGTTACTCACCAACATCTCTTGCTCTGCTTTCATGGTCTGGATAGCATGCACCAGTATCTTTCTAGGCCACTGCTTACGCTTTGTTGCTGTCTCTACTATTAGTTCATCAAATTGATCTTCAAGCACTTTAATGCTGGAACCTAAAAGTGACAAACATGCAAAGTTATTGTAGGAATTCTCCTACAACTTTTTTTGGTTTTTTTTAAATTTGAGACAAAGTTATAAAGAAAAAAAGCTTTAGATCTGAAACAAGAAATCAAGGGCAATTATCAATGAAGATATGTCTCGAATATATAACATATATATATAATATATATATAAAATATACAACATATATAACATATACAAATGTCTTGAATCTCCTTGTTAAGGTGATACAGAAATTGGAACACAACGATGTTGGCCAGTTACTGTTGAAGCAAATGTGCTGGGGGGTGAGGAGGCAGAGAACCGTCTGGGGAAAAAACAAAAAAAAAAATCAAAAACTTATTTCTCTAAGAACTCTCAATCTATGAAGAAAGTCTCACAAAGAAATGGCTATCTTTTGAGATAACTTGTTTTTCAAGTGAAGAAAAGCAATGCAAGATGCAGCAAGAAAAATGGTTTATCTGTGTAATTTACAAGCATTAAACAAACACCAACTGTCAAAACAGTAATCTGAAGCTTAACTGATTTTATATCAGATACAGCACAAATGTGCGGTTTACTGTGACAATATGTATATTGTCACCTTAATGAAATTCAGAGTATTTTCCAGTTCCTGGAAAATACTCTGCATCCTGACAACATCTGTAATTACTAGTCACAAGGAGTGTGCAAAAACCAAAACACGTCTGCTTTGAACATCTGAGGCCCAAGGGACTGTACATAGCAGGAGCTAACTTCACAGCTTGCTTTTCCAATCATAAGATTAGACTAAACACCTAGAATACATTTTCAGCTGTCAACTAGTGGTTTTAGTACTCCTACTCTACTAAAGATAACTTAGCTACTCTGAGACTGCAATTAAACGTAACTGTTAAAAGTTTAAGATACTGTTTTAAAGCTGGTTTCAAAATTTAGACAAGTAAATGCCTGCACCTTCCTGACATCACATGCCATCATTACAAACTATAAAAAACTAAGTTATAGAAGAAAACAGAATTAACTGCTCAATCTTATAACTGTAACTGAAATGTTGTGCATATTTCTATATTCTTACACCTGCACACTCCTATATTTTTTCTCCCCCCTACAGATTTGAAACATTGACAATAGTCTTGCTTTTTTATTTTTAAATTTAATTTTAAAAACTCCTTAGCATTTAAATTTACTGTTCCCACTAATGTGTTGAAAGCAACTTGCAAGTCATACAATGTTTTCAATCTAGTGGTAAAGAATGTATTTTGAGCACCCTCTCTTGGTCAATCTGTGCAGAATCAGGTGATCATAAACCTTAGGCAAAATCAAGGTATTAAAGAGTCTGTGTGTTTGTTTTAGAACATGAAATCATTTAAGTACAGAGAGGAAAGTCCTGAGCCACTGGTCATCGTAAACACTGAAGGCACAAAATGCCAAATCACCTGGTGATTCAAACAGGATCAGAGACAGGCACATGAGTAAATGTATGGCAAATTAAAAAGTACAATACAGTCCTTACACCTGCTTTATGCCAGCTGCAGGAAGATGACAGTATCTCAGCTGGCATAAAGTTATACTTGTACAGACAAAGGATAATGTACTGAAAACAACATCCATCTGGACAATGTTTTCCTGTTATGAATTTTTGAGCAAATTTGAATTAGCAAAGTGAGCCTGAATTGGTCCAGCATTCTGCACCGTGAGACCAGTAGTCAAAAGAGTTGGAGTTTTATCATTCTAGAACTACAACTGAAGAAGCTTCCTGATCAAAAACCAGTTCAAGCTCTTTCTCCATAGCCAGTTCAATACATCTTTATTTTCAACTTTGTGCAACTGTAAAAAGCATCAAGTTGCTGGCAAAGAACATCTAACAGTAATACAAATGAGCAAATGAATCACACTGAAATTTCCTTTGGACAACAGACTACCAAGAATGTCCACTGCTACTGTTCAAAAGACAGTAATTCTAAACACATTGTATGTATTACATATTAATAGATGATATAGCAATTTTAAACATTTACCTAATTTGTATATTAAATAGTAGCAACAGACATGCTACTAGGGTCTCTTGATAGGAAGAGACCTTGGCCAAAGACCTCAGCATGAGGTCACTCAGGTGGAACAGCCCTCAGAGGGCTCTTGGGACACAAGCCTCCTGCTCACAGCAAGGTCAACACCCAGTTCAAACCAGGTTGCTCAGGGCACTTTTATCCAGCTGGTTCTTGGAAGCCTCCAGTGCTGGAGGTGACACAGCTCTCAGGGCAACCTTTTCCAATGCTCAGTTATCCCAATAATTAATTTTTACTTTCTTACATTAAGTCAGAACCTACCCTTTAAATTTATGACACTTGCCTCTGTGCACCTCAATAAATAGCCGGCTCCATATTCTCAGTAACTTCCTTGTAGGTACTGGAAGGCTGGCTTGTCTTCTCTGTGCTAAACAAGCCCCGTTCCCTCAGGCCCAACTCACAGGGTAAGTGCTCCAGTCCCTGGGATGTCTTGGCAGCCCCTGATGAACTCACTCGTTTATCAATAATTTCTCTATACCAGGGAGTCTAAAAATGAGTGCACTACTCCAGGTGTGCTCTAGTAAGTGCAGAGTAAAGGCAAATAATCACTTCCTTGGATCTACTGACTACACTCATTAGCGC